CACTAACACCAGAAACTTGGCTTTGGCATTCAGTCAATGATATTCTCCTATACAGACCAGACCAAGAGTCTGTTCTATAAGCCATCACAACTGTTAGAAAACCTCTCAGTAAGAGGAAATGGGAAATTGCCCTACATAAGGCACAAGCCCCCTCCCAGACTCTTAAATTTTTTGACTACATTTGGAACTCAGAAGAGTAAAGTAATCTCAATTCAGAAAAAGACATGCTCCAAGTGCTCCAACCTCCCATACTGAGCACTTACTGAAACTGAAGCTCTTATTGGGACAGAGCTATTATCCTATGGACTGAGATAACTATTATGCCTTGGGTAATAGAAAAAGCTCCCTGTAAAATTAAACTGGCAACAGGGGCTGCCTTATTGAAAGGGAAATGTATCTACAAGGATTGAGATAAGGATATCTACAGGGTTGGCCTTACTGTAATGTCACAACTCCATGAGGAAATAGTCATATACCTTTCTATTTAGGTTAACTTTCCAAACTTCCAAAGTGCCGCCCTCTCTTACTCAATAGGGAGGATAGTCAACATTCTCAGAACAAGAAAAGCAATGGTATTTTTACTAATGGAGCAAGCATGGGGCATAAGGGAGGCAGACAATGGACAACCACAGACTATCAGTTCTGTTCAATCCCTCCAATATGCACATGGGGGATAGACCAAAGCATCTATGTTCAATACTTCTAGCAGTAGAATACATCCTTGATAAACATTTCCTGAGGTCCATAATTCCAACAGCTACTGGTAGGTAGCTAATGGTCTGACTACTTGGCCAGCACTTTGGCAAAATCAGGCCTGGGAAATGCAAGGCTGATACATTTGGAATAAAGAGATGTAGGGAAAAAATGGCCATATTCACTCCTTCTCTGCCAACGTTGGTGCACCATACCTTGGTTCATACAAAACAAGACACAGAAGAGGCATGATGCAATACCAAGGCTGATGAACTAAACAGACCACTGAAGTAGGTAAGTGTCTTGAAAGTAGAGGGTCCGCAGAACTTAGGGATAAGCTACACCACCTCTTCTATTGGTTGGTGCATAAGAGGTCAGGCACTAAACAGACCACTGAAGTAGGTAAGTGTCTTGAAAGTAGAGGGTCCGCAGAACTTAGGGATGAGCTACACCACCTCTTCTATTGGTTGGTGCATAAGAGGTCAGGCATTTTGACATATGTTGTAAAAACAATCATTAATAGAGGAATAGACCCAACAGAGAGACATTTCCACAAAGCCATTAAAGACTGTATCACTCGTTAGAGATTTAGATCTAGATCTAGATCTTGAGCGTACCACAAGTCAGAAGAAAGTTACAGAGAAGTACATCAGAACTGGAAAATCAGCTTCACTGGGCCTCTCTCTGCCATGAAATATGAATTAAGAATGGTAAATATCCACATAGGCCTTCTATTGGTTTACCATGCAAAGCACCAACTTATGGTAATGTTACTGAGGGGTTAGCAAAACAGCTTTCACAGCCTTTGGAATTGCCACAAAGCTCCCACTTCCCAACAAGGAGAACACAGCAATTAGTATCACAAAATGACATTGCTAGGTGGGCATTTTCTCCTACTATTATCCTTTGGCAGCAGTTATCATTGAAAGAAAAAAATGGGCTTTGAAAACAAAGGCTATTGAGAAAAGAACAATATTTCTCAGAGTAGTCAAAAATGCTGCCTATAATCCTGATTACATTACATTCACAATCTTATGGCATAACTACATAATATTTAAATTGACAAAAAATGAGACTACCAACTGCAAGGCTATGATTTCTGCTGGTGTACACTTCCACACCGACCACAGCAGAATTTCCAGTTTTCACAAACAGGAGAGCCCTGACATCTCTTAGGTACTATGCAGCCATAAAAAAGAATGAAATCTGGTTATTTGTGGCAACATGAATGGGCCTGGAGTACATTATGTTAAGTGAAATAAGCCAGGCACTGAAGGATAAATATCTCATATTCTCAGTCATATGTGTAAGATAAAAAAGTTGATCTGATACAAGCAGAGAGAAGGATAGTGGTTAATAGAGACTGGGAAGAGCAGGGGTTGGGGGAGAATAGGGACAGGTTGAATATCTCATATTCTCAGTCATATGTGTAAGATAAAAAAGTTGATCTGATACAAGCAGAGAGTAGGATAGTGGTTAATAGAGACTGGGAAGAGCAGGGGTTGGGGGAGAATAGGGACAGGTTGATCAAGGGATAAAAGATTACAACTAGATAGGAGGAATGAGGACTAGTGTTCTATAGCACTGTGGGTTGACTACGGTTAACAACAATTTATTATATGATTTCAAATAGCTAGAAGACAGGATTTTGAATGTTCTCAACACAAAGAAATGACAAATGTTTGAGATAATGGATATGCTAATTACCATGATTTGATCATTGCATGTTACATACATGTATATAAATGTCACATTGTACCTCACCAATATATGCAATACTATGTGTCAATTAAAATAAATTTTAAAAACAAAGAACCATTTGGAGGATTCACACTTTTGATTGCCAAAACTTACTATAAAGTTATAGTAATCAAAACAGTGTGGTACTGGCTTTAAAGGTAGATATATAGATCAATGAAATAGAATTGAAAGTCCAGAAATAAACCCATACATCTATGGCTAAATGATTTTCAACAAATGTGCCAAAACCATTTAATGAGAGAAAGGACAGTCTTTTCACCAATGGGTCTGAGGCAACTAGATATTCACATGCAAAGAATAAATTGGACACCTCGCTCACACCATATAAAAAATGCAAAATGGATCTAGGACCTAAATGGGAGTCAAACTTAAAAAAGAAAAAATGGGCATAATTCTCATAACTTTGGATTAGACAATGGTTTTCTTAAGTATGATAACAAAAGCACCAGCAACAAAAGAAAAATAATAGATAAAATGGATATCATCAAAATTAAAGATCTTTGATCATCAAAAGACATTATCAAGAAGTTGGAAAGACAACACAATAATGGGAAAAAAACTGGCCAATTATACATCAGATAAGGGTCTAGTATCCAGAATATATAAAGAACTTTTATAATTAAAAAATAAAAAGACAAATAACAGAATTTATAAATGGGCAAAGGATATGAATAGACATTTCTCCAAATAAATTGTACAATAGGCCAATAAGCACATGAAAAGATGCTTAATATGGTTAGTCTTTAAGGAAATGGGAAATGAAAACCACAATGGGAAATCACTTACCCACTAGGGTGGTCATAATCAAATAAAAAGAAAAAATGTTGGTGAGCATGTGGAGAAATTGCTCACACATTGCCAGTGAGAATGTAAAATATAGCACATAGGAAACAGGTTAGCAGCTCCTCAAAAAGTTAAACAGAATTGTCACATGACCCAGCAATTTGACTCTAACATATACCCAAGAGAACAGAAAACATATATTCATATAAAAATTGGTATATGGATGTTCATTGCAGCAGTATTCCTAATAGCCAAAAAGCAGAAACAGCCTGAATGTCCATCAGCTGCTGAAGAATGGATAAACAAAATGTGCTACCTACACATTGTGGAATATTACAGAGTCTTTAAAAAGAATGGAGTACTGGAACGTGCTACAAGTATAATGGACCTTGAAAACATTATACTGGATGAAAAAGCCAGACACAAAGGCCAAATATTGTATGATCCCATTTATATGAAGTGTTGATCACAGTCAATTCTATAGAGAGAGAAACCATACTAGTAATTGCTAGGGCTCGGTCATCAGAGGATGAGCAGTGATTGCTGAATGTTTACGGAGCTTCATTTTGCAGTAATGAAAATGTTCCAGAGTTAGATGGTAGTGATAGTTATACAACATTGTGGATGTTCTTTTTTTTTTTTTGTCTTTTGTCTTTTTCCGTGTCCGGCAACGGATCGCAACCCTCAGTGTTGCCCCCGTACCGGACCGGGGACCGGCAACGGGATCGCAACCCTCGGTGTTGCTCCCGCGCCTCGCTCAGCCAGTGAGCGGGAACCGGTCCGTATGTGGGATCCGAACCCTTGGGCGGGAGCGCCGCCGTGCTTCCCAAGCAGCGCACTATCCAGTGCACCACTGGGCCGGCCCTGTAACTACTTTTTTTTTTTTTTTGTCTTTTTTTTTTCCATGTCCGGCAACGGATCGCAACCCTCAGTGTCGCCCCCGTGCCGGACCGGGACCGTCAACGGGATCGCAACACTCGGAGCTGCTCCCGCGCCTCGCTCAGCCACTGAGCGGGAACCGGTCTGTATGTGGGATCCGAACCCTCGGGCGGGAGCGCCGCCGCGCTTCCCAAGCAGCGCACTATCCAGTGCGCCACCGGGCCGGCCCTGGATGTTCTAAAGAACCAATGAAATTGCATTTTAAAATGGTTAAAATAATGAATTTTATGTTATGTGAATTTTATCTTAATAAAAAAGGACAGAGATTATAATGAGCTGCCAGTTAAAATAGTTATATTGGCCTGCACATATATTTTTATATAAACCTCACTGTCCTTCAGTATTATGCCAAAAGTCTCAATATTTTCTATTGATAAGGCCTAAATTTATTTTAATTCAAGAAAATTAAAGGACTTGGTGGTCTTGCAATTATAAGGATGTTGAAAATAAACTGTTATTAATCTCCATATTATTTAACATCAAAAGGGAGAAGGAAATGCACACACAGAACTACAAGGGAAGGATTCTAAAACTTTATATGGATACATTCTAAGTAAGTGGTATAGATAATATTTTATCTTCTATTTTAGACAATACATTAGATCTTAGCATAAAAACTCCCTTTATTTCTAGGTTTTGCTTCATCTTACAATATTAACTGTCTTAATTACCATGCATTGTCATTTGTATTTTGGACACCTTTTGAACACTTTGTTATGAGTGATTCTATCATACAACACCTAAGTCTTATTCTCACTGTCTTGTCAATTTTCAGAGATGCATATGTAATTTAATTTTGTTTTATTTTATTTATTTCCCTATAGTACTATGCCCATTGGAATGGCTCAAATATCAAGAAAAATGTTATTGGTTCTCTGATGAGATGAAAAATTGGAGTGACAGTTATATGTATTGTTTGGGAAGAAAATCTCATCTATTAATAATACAGAACCAACTTGAAATGGTAATTGGTTCAACATCATGGTTATGGCATTAGCCTCTGTGCAGTTAAAAGTGGCTTTCCTCAAATACCTTTCCATTCTTGAGTGAAATTATCTTTATCTTTATAACTGAGTTTTGGTGGCACTCTTAAATTTTGTGCTCTAAGTGACTAACTTATTTCACCCATGCTAGAGCTAGCCCAAATATTTATATTCGATTTGCAATTGTGTGTGTATAATATATCTGTATCTATATATAATATGTGTGTGATTAAGATATGAATTGATTAGTATAAGAATCCTCATGCAGAGTCCTAGTTTTTCAATAAAATTCTAAATTTTTCTTAGTGTGTCTAAATTATTAAAATATTCTGTTTATTTAGTTACTCATCACCTACTTTTTAGGCTTTTATACAGAAAAACCTAAGACAATCAAACTACGTGTGGATTGGGCTTAACTTTACATCTTTGAAGAAGACATGGACTTGGGTGGATGGCTCTCCATTAGATCCGAAGATGTGAGTCTTTCCTACAAAGTAATCTGATTTATTGTCTATTGTAGAATATGTCTTCATAAGGCACCTCTTTGTCCACCAAATTCAACTCTGAAATAACTCTTGGTACTACAGAATTTGAAAGAATGAAAATTAACTTAATATTCACAGAAATAATGATGAGTATTTTGATTTGAGTTTCAAAGCAAAAGAATTTGAAAACAATATCATTGCTATTATTTAAAAATTACACTTTACATAGAAAGGTAGACTGAACCAAAGTTACCAATGCTTACTTTAGCAATCTTTAGTAATTAAAAAATGCAATATACAATTTCTTGTGTTTTATGATTATCATAATGTTAAAATGCAAACAATAAATACAAGACAGAACAAAATAATCCAAAATTCTTTCAACAGTTGCATGGGATTACTGATGATTTTTAAAACTTCATCAACATTCTTGTGTGCTTTATTCATTTTGTGATAAGATATTTAACTAGAAACACACATAGCAAAATAGGTAAATTCAAAATTTTACTATGTTACCAGGAAAACCAATAATCCCCAAAGATGTCCATATTCTAATCCCCAGTCCATGTGAATATGTTACCTTACATGGCAAAAGAAAATTTGCAAGTATGATTAAGAATTTTGAGATAGAAATATGCTGAATTATCTTGGTGGGCCCAATTAAATCACAAGAGTCCTTATAAGAGGGAGGAAGTAGGGTCAGAGTTGAGAAAGGAGACATGAAGACAAATGCGGAGATTCACGTGATGTGGCCACGAGCCAAGGAATTCAGGCAGCCTCTAGAAGATGCAGAAGATAAAAAGCAGATTCTCCCCTAGTGCATCCAGAAGGCTGTTCCACAGACACCTTGCCTGTAGCTCTCTAAGACTAATTTTGGACTTTTGATATCCAGAACTGTAAGATAATAAATTTGTGTCGTTTATGGCCGCTAAGTTTATGGTACTTATTTTTTACAGTAATGTAGGAAACTAATACTTTATGGTAACCAACTTAAAGATACCATCGTGTTACTTTTCCTTTATTCTTATTTCATTATTAAATAGTACTTATCTTCTATCTCACCATGCTAAGTCAGTCAATCTAAGGAAGTGAATTGTTTTAGTCCATTTTGTGTTGCTGTAACAGAAATATCTGAAACTGGGCGATATATAAGGAAAAGAGGTTTATTTGGCTTACGATTCTGGGACAGCTGTATCTGGCATGGGTCTCAGGCTGCTTCTACTCATGGCAGAAAGTGGCAGCAGCCGGCGGGTACAAGCAGATCACATGGCGAGAGGAAGCAAGAGAGAGGAAGCAAGAGAGAGGAAGCAAGAGAGAGGAAGCAAGAGAGAGGAAGCAAGAGAGAGGAAGCAAGAGAGAGGAAGCAAGAGAGAGGAAGCAAGAGAGAGGAAGCAAGAGAGAGGAAGCAAGAGAGAGGAAGCAAGAGAGAGGAAGCAAGAGAGAGGAAGCAAGAGAGAGGAAGCAAGAGAGAGAGAGAAGGTGCCAGGGTCTTTTAAACAACAATCTCTTGCAGGAACTAATAGAGCGAGAACTCACTCATTTATCCCCCCCTCCTCCAGGGAGAGCATTAATCCATTCATGAGGGATCCGACCCCATGACTCAATCAGTTTCCAGCACTGCCCCATTGGGGATCAAAATTCCACATGAGTTTTGGAGGGGACAGCACATCCAAACTGCATCATGAGTTAAAAACATTATTTGGAAGGAAGTAGAAAATTTTGAAGTAGGAAAGTATGAGTGTGTCATCTAAGGGTAGATTTGAGTCACTGCATATTACCCAGTCTATTTAGGAAGTTGCTAACTTTTTTATTAATTCAGTACTTGCTCCTATCAATTTGAAAACTCTGAAGATGGTGTGCACCATTTCCATGGTTCTTTTTTGAATATTTTCCACAGTTTATACAAAATCCTCACAGAATATATCACTAATACAACTGTATCATATGGATTATTTTATTATCATATTTGACATGTTGACTTATAGATAAATAATACAATAAATATGCAATTTTTTTAGGGCTTACATAGTTCAATTTGTGTATTAAGTTTTTTAGAAACATCAATTTATTTTAGCTCTATAACAATGTCATGAAGTAAATATTATCACCACCATTGTTCATTTAGATATGAGAATCCAAGAGAGATTAAGTAAACTGTGTAAACTTAAACATATTTTTTAATCTAATTGAACCTCATGGAACAATAGAAGAAATACTAGAACAGGAATATGGAGGCACATTTATTCTTATATCTGTCATTTGCAAACATACTCTCTTGGAACTATCTGTCAATAACAGATAAGGAAGCTAAGTTACAGAGATATTGTAATGGTTAATAAGTCAAGGTAATTGGAAATGTTTTGAAAGTTTTAATTAACTTTTTATTTAAGGGAGGGTATTAGCTGAAAACACAAATTAATGTCTTTAGCAAAAATAAATAACCATGTATCTATTCACTCTTTTGCAGATTCTTCATAAAGGGGCCAGCTAAGGAAAACAGCTGTGCTGCTACCAAGGAAAATAAAGTATATTCTGAAACCTGCAGCAGTGTTTTCAAATGGATTTGCCAATATTAGAATTTATTTTAATTGATAGTAGAACAATCGATAATCCAAGTTTTTAGTCTATTAGGTTCTAGTATTAATTTTCAGGTCCTAGCCTCAGAGTAACCCATGTTAACAACCTAAAATGTATCCTTCAAATTTTTGGTGATGATATAATCCAATGTGAGCCTATGTAATTATATCCAGGATTGCTATTCATTGTTTATTTTACACCAAATGTGATAAAATTACATCTGTTTCTCTGTACATTGCATTTTATAAATTCTTAATATTATTTTGGGTTAATTTTATATAGTTCTAAGGGTTGCATTATATTGTGCAGTTACTCATTTTTCCTGCTTTTATTGATGAGCATTAGCTTTGTTTCCAGGTTTTTGCTATTGTACGCTATGCTGCAATAAACATCCTGAGTAGTTTCTTAAACAGTAGTATCATTTATTTCTATGATAAAACCCTAAAACTAGAAATTCTGAGTAAAAGTGTTAAATGTGTTGTTCGCTTAAGATTTTATCGGATTTTTATGTGTTACACTTTTTCTCCTGAATTTAGAAACGCACACACTTTATAAGAAGATAGGTACAGAGGAAAGAACATATTTTTTTCTGGAACCTCTTGAGAATTAGTTGCCACATTGATGCATTTCATCACAAAATTTCTTGTAATTGGATACTTTTTTGTGTGTTACCTACAAAAATAAAAATACCTTTTTTCTATTTAACCACATTACTATGATCAAAATCAGCAAATTCACATCAACACAAAACTATCTTATAATTCTCAGACTTCCTTCAAGTTATGCCAGTTGTCAAAATATTGTTCTTTAGAGTAAAAGGATCCAGGTCAGAATCAATTTCTACATTTAGCTACTATATCTCTTTAGTTTCCTTCAGTCAGGAAGAATTCCTCAGCCGTCCTTAACATTCGTGACCTCAACACTTGAACACTACCGATTGGTTATTTTGTGAAATGTTCTTTAATTTGAATCTGTGTGATTGCTTCTCATGGTTAAATTCCAGGTATGCCTCCTGGGCAGGAACGGCCTAAAAGTGATGCAGCGAAGCTTTGTTCTCACTGCGTTCTTCCAGGTGGGACACAATTTCGTTTGTTCTGTTATTGATGATATTTCTTTCATTCAGATGACTAATGTGGTGTGTTTGCCTGATTTCACCATAAAGTTACTTTCCCTTTTGTAATTAATTAGTATCTTGTAGGAAGTTAACAAGATGGCTTTAATATTTACCTCAATTTGACTAAACTCTAGATAGGTTTCTTCTACTCTATGGCCCCTGACCTCACTTTTCTTAGAGCATTTACTTTAAAACACTTGTAACTATAAATTCTTTCTCTGCCTCCTTGAGATATAAATCTTTTTACAAGCCTCTACAGGTTTCACATCCCAGGAATTTCTCTCTCAAGGACTTGGGAGTCGTCCATTGGAAATGTCATCAAGGATGACAGAGGCCTACCTCCTACTCGCCGTGGGAGGGTAGGATTCTACATTCAGTGGGATGACCTGCTCCACCTTGTAAACTGCCTCCTGTTATGAGATCTGAGAGAGTTTTATTTTCCTTGGGTAAAGCCAATTGGCAAACTCAGATGGTATCTAATCTCTCCCTCACCCCATCTTTTTAAACCCCTCCCATCCTTCGTTTTGGCAGATTTTAGTTCAGATTGAGCTCTGGCTTCTCTCCCTTATTGCAGTAGCCTTGAAGAAAATGTTACTGGCCTGCGTAACATTGTTCAACGCAGTTTTTGCTTTAACAAGAGGTACTTTTAGAGATTTTCTCATTTACTATCAAAATTTTAATTTATTTATTTTGTATTTATATCTTTGTGGACTCCCA